ACTTTAAGTTTCATAGTTTCATAGTTTCAGGGTCGGAAGGGACCTAATAGATCTTCTAGCCCGACCCCCCGCCAGGGCGGGAGAACAACCCAAAAACACAAACAAAACCACTCACCCTAAAAACAAAAACGGGACTCAAATGAGTCCAGCCAGGTAAGTATCCAGCCTCTTCTTAAAGATCCCCAGGGTAGGGGCCAGCACCACCTCCCTTGGAAGTTGGTTCCAGCTCCTAGCCGCCCTGACTGTGAAGTAGTTTTTTCGGATGTCCAATCTGTACCTCCTCTCCATCAACTTGTGCCCATTATTCCTTGTTATGCCAGCAGGGGCTAGGGGAAACAGCGTCTCCCCCAAACCCTTCTGGTTCCCCCTAGTGAGTTTATAGACGGTCACCAGGTCCCCCCTCAGCCTTCTCTTGTGGAGGCTGAATAGGTTCAAGTCCCGCAGTCTCTCACTGTAGGGTCTGCCCTGTTGTCCCCGGATCATGCGGGTGGCCCTCCTCTGGACCCTCTCCATGTTGTCCACATCCCTCCTGAAATGGGGCGCACAGAACTGGACACAATACTCCAGCTGCGGCCTGACCAGCGTCGCATAGAGGGGGAGGATCACCTCCCTGGCTCTACTCGAGATGCACCTGTGGATGCACGACAAGGTCCGGTTAGCCCTGCCAACCATGACCTCGCATTGTCGGCCCATGTTCATCTTGGAGTCAATAATGACACCAAGATCCCTTTCCGCCTCCGTGCTCTCAAGTAGGGAGCTCCCCATCTTATAAGTGTGCTGCTGGTTCCTTCTACCCAAGTGCAGCACCCTGCACTTGTCCGTATTGAAACGCATCCTGTTCCTGTCTGCCCACCCCTGTAACCTATCCAGATCCTTCTGCAATCTCTCTCTCCCTGCTAGCGTGCTCACCTCCCCCCAAATTTTGGTGTCATCAGCGAATTTAAACAGGTTGCTCTCCACCCCAACATCAAGATCGCTGATGAAGACATTGAACAGCGCAGGGCCCAGGACCGAGCCCTGAGGGACTCCACTACCCACCTCCCCCCAAGTCGAATATGATCCATCCACCACCACCCTCTGAGTGCGACCCTTCAGCCAATCTGCAGTCCATCTGACCGTGTAGGCATCTATGCCACAGTCGCCTAGTTTACTAATTAGGATGGGGTGAGAGACGGTGTCAAAGGCCTTGCTGAAGTCCAGAAAGACTACATCCACCGCGACACCTGCATCCATGGCCTTTGTGACCTGATCATAAAAGGCAATCAGGTTGGTCTGACATGATCTCCCCCTAATAAATCCATGCTGATTGCCCCTGAGCATCATCTCGGATGCCGGCCCATCACAAATGTGCTCCTTGATGATCTTCTCAAAGAGCTTCCCCAAGAAGCATGTTTTTCATAATGGTGTGTGTGGGGGAGTATATGTATTGGACATTGAATGGAGTTGTAGTCTCTCTTCTTCCAACTTATCTGTAAGAGCTATATAGCTAAATTCTACTGCAGCATGAGTCTTTGTCAAATACTGTTTTTACCCTACCTCTGGCTCTTATTCCACTCCAGCCTGGGGCACAGACCACATGCTTGCTCTGGTTACAGACCAGTATAGTAGCAGTGGTGGTGGCATGGCAGCTCCAGGGCCCAGCCAGAGTTTCTGCTGCTGCCATGGGGCCAGGGCTGGGGGAAGCATGTGCTCTTTGCCCCAGGCTGGAGCAGGGCTGAAGCTGGAGCAAGTGTAAGGGAGGGGTGGGGGAAGGGAGAAGAGGGGTAGGCAAGGGTATTGATGCTTTGGGGCGGGGGGGGGGGG